ACCAGAATGGGGCTTTCTGGAGAGGAAGAGAAGAAGAGGGGAGAGAAAAGAGAGATTGGGGTTTTGTTGAGTTGTGAAGTGTTGTTAAGAGAGAGTGAGATGAGACTTTTGCAGATATAAATAGTCCTCATTTCTTTCACACATATAATATGCTATCAATCAAAGCGAAAAGTGTAGAGATGAGTACTTGCCTGTAAAGTGGGGAGCTTAGTAGATTTGCAGCGATCTCTCTCTGATTCTCAAAGAATGTTTGAATGATGAACAGTGTGCCCTAAACCTAGTTCGAGCTCTGTAAGTTAGTTCGTTTCCAAATAAAAAAGAAATTATTGGGCCTTTAGCTGACTGGGTCTGGGTGTAAGAAGTAAAGCCCAATGTAAAAGTTTTAAAAAGGCCCATCAACATCTCTCAATGTTCTACAACGGCTCAAAGTTTAAAAAGACCAGCAAAACTAATTCCTCCGCTGGGGTTCAAGAGCGAGTGTGTGAGTTTTGTATCAATATAAAATAAAAATAGTACACAGTAAAACCCATACATACATGTAATGGTATTCCCCAAAGCCTTTGGAGACAACAAGTAGTCATATAAATACGTAAATAGAAACATGTATACAACTTTTTATTTATATTAAAATGAATATCAATAGTCTTCTTTTCTTTTAAATTTTGTTTTTTTCACAAAAATATTTTATAGCTCATTCTCAGATAAGCTTCCCAAAAAGCCGATAGAATAAGAGTGAATGACTCACCGTAAATGAAAGCCTTTACTGGACGAATCAGAGTATTTCAATGCCCGTTTTACTTCTCTTCCAACCATTATCAATGTTTCTAACTATATTGTGCTTTATCCTGTCCATTTTAGTCTCATTATTTTCAATTTGCTTTTTTCATCTTTTAAGTTCTCTCTGTTTTATCTCGTCATTTTCTTCACTGTTAAGCTCATAATTCACATTATTAGCTAAAACATTCTTTTCAGCTTGAAGTTTCTGATAAACTTCTTGTTCCACAGTGTGTTTCTTCTGGCTTTGGAAACTTGAAATTTCAAATGACACATACAATTTAACACTCCCTTCTTATGGTATTCCACCTAGACTTGTCAACGGGTCGGATTTGGATCGGATATGGCTTAATCCGATCCGAATCGTGTTGGGACACAGCGAAAACAAAAGAAAGAAAGAAAACAACACTTCAAACCATAATACAAGATATATACGTGGTTCACCCAAAATCAGGGTTACATCCACGGATGAGAAGAAATTCACTATATATGTAGAGATATTACAATAGTAGAGAATTTCAACACCGGACCATGCACACAAACTCTTGACCGAGTTCTACGTGTACTCCATGAGACTCCTTTTCGCCATCAGTGTTCATTTTACCAAACCCGTAACTCACTCGTACTCCCTCATAAGGCCACATCTCTTTCAACTCATAACTCTCAACAATAACTTAAGTGTCTATTTATAGAGTCACATACCTAATTCCTTAGTGAATAATGACTACAATTTCTTAGAGCCCAATACAGTCTCTATAAGAAATTACCATAAAAAATACACTCTAAAATAGAAATTAATAATAATGGGAATTTGAGACATAATTCCTAACAATCTCCACCTTAACTCAAATTCCATTACCTCAATCATCGCTTCCCATGGCAATTGAATCTGGACAATTCCTTGCCACTTCAATCTTCTCGATCTTATTGCAGAACTCGGATTATCCCCACTATACGTTGCTCAATCAGTCAAAACCCCAAGGCTCCACCTTGACTACTCAAGCTCCATGCCATGTAACCAAGCTGATTGACTCCACCTACAACTGAAGCTCATTATAACACATATTGAGACTTCTTGTGTTTCCTAGATCTCTTTCACCTTTAGCTATGATACCAGTTGTTGGGGCACAGCGGAAGCAAAAGAAAGAAAGAAAACAACATTTCAAACCATAACACAAGATATATACGTTATTCACCCAAAATTAGGGTTACATCACGGATGAGAAGAGATTCACTATATTTGTAGAGATATTACAATAGTAGAGAATTTCAATACCAGACCATGCATACAAACTCTTGACCGAGTTCTCCGTGTACTCCACGAGACTCCTTCTTACCATCAATGCTCACTCTACCAAACCCGTAACTCACTCCTACCATCAACGTACTCCCTCATGAGGCTACATCTCTCTCAACTCATAACTCTCAACAATAGCCTAAGTGTTGATTTATAGAGTCACATACCTAATTCCTTGGTGGACAAGGATTACAATTTCTTAGAGCCCAATACAGTTTCTATAAGAAATTACCATAAAAAATACACTCTAAAATATAAACTAATAATAATGAGAATTTGAGACATAATTCCTAACAAATCGAACGAGCATTTTACTCCATCTGATCCGAATCGAACGAGCATTTTACTCAATCCGATCTAATCCGATAATCCAACAGATTATTTGTAAGTGAATCAATATCCGATTTGTTAATAAATAGGTATCCGATTCGATAAAAGTGTAAAAAATTTTATAAAAAATAATAATAATAATAATAATAATGTCAAAAGAGAATAAAAAAAAAATGATTATAAAAAAATAATAGAAAAAAATAAAGATAAATAAAACATGGAAGGCAAAGAAAAATAAATAAATAAATAAATAGATCATTTACTCTTTGTTAGTGAATAAATATTTTGACATTATTAATATGTAAATTAGGGAATTTATTAGTATGTGGGTAAAAACACCACACAATTGTACACGGAGATTGTTTGTACCCACGGGGCACATGCCACTGGCCCGGCCAAGTATAAAATTTAGGTATTTTTATTTTATTTGTACATTTTAAAGAAAATTTTTATATAATGCCCCTAAAATTTTTAATTAAAATTATCTCCTAAAGTTCTCTTTCTTTTCTCTTTTGCTCTTAAAATATCTTTGATTTCCTTTAAAAAATGTTAAATTTTACTCGTCTATCAGACATCATAGTCTAATTTTTCTTAATTTATTTAATTTTTCTTTTTTTGTTTTCCTAATTAAAATTCTTGTTTGACTTACAAATGATATATATAGAATATAATTTTTTTTTCTTGTTTTATTTAAATTTATTACCATAATTTATGAATTGGAAAGTAAAAAAAAAAACAAAGAGATTATGGGGACGAAACAGGAATAAGAGGAAGTCAACGGATGTAATTGCTTTCAAAATACAAAGACATATAACTATATTTAATGAAAATATTAATTAATAAACAACATTTTAGTTCTTATATTGGTCAAGTACTAAAGTACTCGTTGATTTAGCATATCACGAGCAATGTTTTATCTCATTAATTAAATAGGCTGACTAAATAATATAAAATAGGGTAAATTGCATGGACATCCGTGAGGATTCGGTCAATGTCACTCAAATGCAAGTCAACGACCTTTTTAACAATGACACTCTCTATAATTCCAAATGTCAAATTTGTCTCTGATTATTTAATTCAATTAATTTATAAAATATTAACCCTGTTAATTGACAAAACCACCCTCATCATTAAGTCTTTTTCTCTACCCTAATCTTTAACCATTGCAAGAAGCACATGCCGAGTGCAGAGAACTTCATTCATGATCCTACTAGCATCCGAAAAACACAGATTATAAAACACGGACCCATAAGTAAGAATACAACTATTTTTATGGGTTTTATCAATGTGTAGGTGTTGTAGTACATAATACACAATTGTAGAATTAAATGGTAGTAGAGGAGAATTTTACGATAACAACTGATTACAGTATTGATCATTTGGGCCTTGGACTTATGAACGGGGATACTCCCGAAACTCACAAAGAAAAAAGTTAGTTAGTTAGACAAAAAGTGAAATTAGAAATACCCCTTCCTCGGGCTACCAATTAATAGAATGTTTTTAATTTTTCAAACATTAGGATTTGTTTTTAGTCAAGGCTTGACCCTTATTGAGATCAGTATTATGAAAACTTGGTTATAAAATTTTTATAAATCTCTAAAAATAATTTTCTATTTTTTGAATTCTTGATAAATTATTTTCTGAATGACAAATCAAGAGGCATATGAAGAAAATGTATATTTTATTGTAATAAAGGGTTGATACCTAAGTCACATAATCCTTCTCAATAGGTGTCGCTCGTACGTTCCGCGCGCACTCTCACTCAATTTCTCACTATTTATGACTTAATTCTGTCACTCACGCTTTTGAATTCGCTCTCGCTCCCACTCCCGCTTTATGTGACTTAGATGCATACTTTTGTCACTAAAATTTATGATATATGTTGCAACCATTAAAATGCAGAATATGAGAATAACTTAAATTCTCTTGGTAATGCGATGATACACGATATTACACACTAATTAAACAGGGACTCATAAGTAAGAATATATCTAGTTTGACAGGTTTTATCATTGTGTGGTAAACAAAGTAATATATCAATTGTAGAATTAAATAGTAGTAATCCTCTATTAGGATTTGTTTTTAGAATGATGACAAGGGCTAGTCAAGGCTTGATATATTAAAATGCACTGTATGGTGTGCTGTAGTTCAATTCAATCTATGACAAGCTCCCTCTTAACCCAATGACATTGAAAAGTATTTCTAATTCAAAGACAAATTGAGTATGGATTATACTCAATTACAATCCAATGGATTCATTCTCATTTGAGTAGATCATTCAATAGATTTCTCACATGTCCCAATTTTGAAATAATAAAATAAATAAATAAATATTTACGATGTCCGGGATTGGGTTGTAATAAAACAACTTTTCACAATGTAAATTAATTTCATTAACATAATAGAAATAAAACATAGATAGAATTTCAATAACAGAATCATAGACTCACCCCAAAGAAGAGAATTTTTTAAACTTTTTCCCCCTCCCTTTCTTTCTATAACCATGCTAAGAAAGATACAAAACAAAATTCAGAATAGCAACTACATTTGATATGCACCACAAGAACTCTTCTTCTTTTTAGTAGGTAAAATACACGCACTATTGCTCCCCCTTGTTAGCCTTGAATAATTCGCCAACTTCATTTGTATAAGGGAGTACATATTTCTCAAAGAACTTCTCTTCAGTGATCCTGCATACACTTGCCAAACTTGGCTTTTTAAGAAGCAAATTCCTGCTTGCCAATACATCCACAACTCTTAGCCGTGGCTTAAGCCTATTCTCAATACTGCGACCAAGCAAGTCTGGGTTTTTAACAACATATGAGATATCACATTTGCCTGTGCTAAGAAAAAGCTGAGTTATCGCCCTAATTTTCCTCTCTGACTTAGTAAAAGCCTGAGGCTGTGTCCTAAAGATTGACAAAATGTCATCTTCCGAAAACCCCAAACTCTTAAACACCTCCAATTTCAACTCCCAATTCTCTTTAGTCAAAGAACTAATAACCCGAATCGCTTCAATAAACAACTTAGAGTTCCTGTCAAAACCCATCTCATCAACCCTCTTGACATATTCTCTAATAATCGTTGGTTTATGCAAGAATAATCTTGGGGATTTATAGACATGGTGGATAATTTACGACGAACTAATACCACAACTCTTCATAAATTCAATATTGGGTATCATAGTTTTCCCCAAATCATACCTTAAAAGCCTCCCAGATCTCTTTAAAACCCTAGACACATCATCCATATTCAAACCCAAAACACTCTTCAATGCTAAAATCGACGGGCCAAGCCGATTATCAACGCTACTAGTTAGAGCTCGTGGGTCAGACGAAACAATTTGCACAATATCGCTAGAAGAAATACCCAAGTCTTGAAAATACTAGAATTTGGGTTTGATGGAAACTTCAAGTTTTGTAGAGAGAAGTTGGGGCGCGTGTTTCATGACATGCTCGAGATTGGTATCCGAAAAACCACTTTCCTTGAGAAATGACAGAATCGAATCGAACTTTTCAGTGCTTTTCAGATTGGGGCTTCCTGGAGAGGACGAGACTTTCGAAGCAGTTTCAGGATAAATTTTGTGTCTCTCAATCAAGTAATCAGCCACCGCATTGGGGGTTTTTGGAAAGGAAGAAAAGAAGAGAAGAGAGAAAAGAGAGATTAGGGTTTTGTTGAGATGTGAAGAATTCTATCAATCAAAGCAAAGAGTGTAAAGATGAGTACTTGCCTGCAAAGTGGGGAGCTTCGTAGATTTGCAGTGATCTCTCTCTCTGTGATTCTCGAGGAGTGTTTGAATGATGAACAGCGTGCCCTAAACGTAGTTCGAGCTCTGTAAGTTAGGCTCATTTCAAAAAAAAAAAAAAAAAATTATTGGGCCTTTAGCTGACTGGGTCCGGGTGTAAGAAGTAAAACCCAGGCCAATCATCATCTCTCAATCTCTACAACGGCTCAAAGTTTAAAAAGATCAGCAAAACTAATTCCTCTGCGGTTCAGGAGTGACTGTGTGTGAGTTTCATATGATCATATCAATGTAAAATAAATAAATAAACAATAACCATACACACTTGTGTGAGTTTCGTATGATTGTATCGATATAAAATAAATAAATAAACAATAACCGTACACACTTAAATCCATAAATGTTATTCGTCAAAGCCTTTGGAGACAAGTAGTCTTATAAATATAAACATGTATATACATTCTAATTTATATTGAAATGAATATCAATTTTTATTTATTTATTATAAGACAAGAAGGGTTAGAAGTTAAATTAGTAAATGCAGTGAGTCGAAGTCGAGTTATTCAAAGTCTACCGAAAGCACTAACCCATTGATCTATCGAGACATCTGCAGATGAATATCAATACAACCTTCTTTTATTTAAATTTTGTTTTTTTCACAAAAATTTTTTTATGGCTCATTCTTAAATTAGTTTCCCAAAAAGCCTTAATGGGAATGCAACTATTTGGTACTCACACACACACATGTTTCTTTCGTGACTTGAACCTCTAACCTCCCTTTAGGACGTATGAGGCTAATACCGCTAGGCCGCCCGTTGGTTAGAATAAACATTCTTCATTAATATGAAATGTGTTGGAATAGAATGATAAAAACCATTCTAGTGTTTGGTTGGACCAATTTTAAATTTAAAATGGAACAAATTTTAAATTGAATTCTCCAAAACATCCCTGTTAATAAAAAATAAATTAAATTAACAAAATGACATTCTTCTATAATTTTTAAAAAATAAATGGTGGTAGTGGAGGTGGAAAGCGGTAGTAGTGTAGGTGGTGGTGGTGAAAGGCGGCGGCGGTGGCAATGGTGGAAGGTGGTGACAAAAGTGTTGGTGGTGGTGGAAAGAGATGGTGTAGGTGGCGGTGGTGGAAGCCAATGGAAGTGACTGTGGTTGAGGTGGAAGGCAGTGGAAGTGGTGGTGGTGGAAGGCGATAGCTGTGGCGGTGGTGGTGGTGGAAGATGGTGAAAGGAAATGGCTGTGGTGGAAGCCAATGAAGGTGACTGTGGTGGTGGTGGAAGGCAGTGAAGGTGGTGGTGGTGGAAGGCAGTGGAGGTGGTGGTGGTGGAAGGCGGTAGCGGTAACGGTGGTGGTGATGGAAGGTGGTGGAAGGACATGGCGATGGTGATGGTACAAGGTAGTGAAAATATAACAGGTGAATGAAAATAATACACTGGATCTCTCATATATTGAGATTGTCAAAAGTATTGCCATATAGCAACTCTCAATTTTTTTTGAGAGGTCTCTCTTTTCTCATACAGTGTCGTTTTTCAAAATATAGCAAGTGGATGAAAATAATACACTCCAAATAGTATTTTGGATGAAATGCACCATTGAAGCATAATTATTAAACTATAGTATTTTGGCACTATAACTCCTCTCAAAATATAGCTTTGGCATGAAAAAATAGCATTTTGCATGAAAATGCTCTTATTTAGGTTAAAAAATGTAACCGGTTCAATTTGAAAAGCAACCGGTTCAATATGTAAAAGACCTTAATTACTCTCTTTCTAACTTCAAACATATTCTAAGTGATACCCACACACATATGCCTCCATAAAGACTCCATACACACATTCTCATTAATCATTACTCATGAACTTCAATTGAATGAATGTAATCTGTTTTTTTTTTTTTTTTTTTTTTTTTTTTTCTTTTCTTTTCTTTTCTTTTCTTTTTTGTTCACTAAAATATTAATCATTTATGGCCATCGCAAATAAAAAAGGAATTCGGTGCAAGTAGTAAAGCCCAATGAACTCGTAACAGTAAGGCCCATAGGGCTGGATCCTGCAACCTATACAACGGCCCAAAGTTGAAAAAGTGTAAGCAAATTTTTTTCCTTTGTGAGTCTATTCGCTGCAAGAGGTTACCCTGAGCAAGCAACATGCAAGCGCTCGTCCACATGGAATGAGAATATTTGAGTTCTACATAAGTTTTTGCACAGTTTTTTATTTTGATTTTTATTTTTTGATAGGTATATTTTCTGATTTTTAGAACTGCTCTCACAAAATTAATAGGGAGTTGCTTTTAATTTTGTGGTAATGATATGAGTTAATTTTACTAGATTAGGGTAATTTGGACACGGTGTCTCCACTACGAAAGTGAAATTTTGCTTACAAGGCTGTATCAAGAGCAATGTTTTATCACGTTCATTAAATAGGCCGACTAAATAATATAAAATAAAAGTGATCAAATAGAGACATTCATGTGAGCCTCAAATGATGCCATCTTATCATTGTTTATTGGGGGAATTTTTTTTTTTTAACTCAAATGAGGTAGATATATATTCTACATAGACTGCATAGTTCTTAGCCGAAACCTATTTTCTACGTAATAGGGTTTGGTTTGCAAAGTTCTTAGACCATCTCCAATGCAAAAAGTTATTGTTGCATGTCAAAACTATATTCTAAGAGTTGCTACAGTGCCAAAATGTTATATTTTAACAATTATGCTCCAATGGTGCATTTTATCCAAAATACTATTTTTACTTAATAGTTTATAAAAAAATAATAATAATGAGGATGAGACCTGCACATGGGATATAAATTTTCACTTAATAGTTCATAAAAAAATAATAATAATAAAATATTTAAAAGCCAAGTCTGCTCTTCCAACAACACATATCAGCTGGACAAAACACCTGTTAACTTCTGGAATTAAATGGACAAGGGAACAATGCTGAAGCTCTCAACGTCATGCATATTCTCATCCAACTCTGCCATTGTATAAACATCTACTAACATTTATATATCCTTCTATCACATACAAATTTCAAAAGATATTCCAAAATGAAAACACTATTAAACCTTCATCTAGAATAGAATAACATGAAACTATGACCTTAAATATAAATGTGTCAAACAAAAGATGTCATTTAAAATTATACAAAAGCAATTCTCATGAGTGTGTGTCTGCGAGACATAGTAAATAAAACAGGGAATGGATCAGTAATCCTATGTTTAAGTAATAATACAACAACAATCAAGCCTTTTTCCCAACTACTTGGGGTCGACTACATTAATCCTATGTTTCCATTCCGCTCTTTTTTGTTCAAGTATCAATGAAAATTTCTTTTTTCAGGTGGAGGTTTGCAACCCTGAAAAATATATACATTTCCATTTCAAGAAGCTAATTGAATGAAGAGGTGCTATAAGACGAAGCGGGATGAGGTAGCCTACCTAAGAGTTGGATGGCTACAACCATAGAGGTAGACCTAACACGCTTGATCAAGGCCAAAACTTGATGAAATCTGATTTCAATCAGAAATCTGAAATTTCCAGCACAGTACGCTTCATTTTGTAAACTGCAGGGGCCAAAATCAATCAACAAGAAGAAAAGAAAAATAATACAATCTTAAGTTTGTTTCTTTACAAACCTTCACGGCCTCCTAAATTACAGAATATAGATATATAAACCTTTTAATTTTGTTTCCAGGGTAGGTACTAACTTCATCCCAAGTAACCTTAACATAGTAATTAGAGCTAAGTGAGAGGAATTTTACGAATAGCAAGAGAATATCGGGGTAGTGTCCTATTTGCATATATAATTTTACGATTGCACCTATTTGCAATTGTTTTTCGAAACTGTAAACGTAAACATCAATATATAGACAGGAAAAGGAAAAAAAAAAAATAGTAATGAAAAATAGTGAAATACAGATCTGAAGAAGAGAGAATTTATCCACAAAATTCGGATTCGATCTGAGAAGAGATATATATATACATATATGAGGATGAGAGGGGAAGAGAAAATACAAATCTGAGAAGAGAGAATTTACCCGGTCAGAGAGGATTGACGGAGAGAGACGTCTAAACCGGAAACGCCGTGGATGTTCTCCGTCGCAGGTTTCTGTCGCCCTTTTCTTCTCGGTATTCTGGGCATAGATAGCAATAGCTATTGCTATATGTTGTGTTCTATTTGGCACAAGAAATGGCAAAGGTATATTTTGACTGCCCATTGGAGAGTCCAATTTTAACCCAACTGCTATATTTTGAAATTGGCAACCCATTTGGTAGCCCATTGGAGTTGCTCTTAGGAGGGAATGCAATTGGAGTAAATGGAGTAGAATTGTGCTATCATTTGAGCCGTCTGATTTGATTTGTGCAAAGTCCGATAACATTCATTGATTGTTCTATAATAATCACATTTGTACCAAAATCTTGTCAATCCAGTCTTAAGGTGGTAACAGAGTTCCACAAACTAAACCAGAATCATCTCAAAAGTTCCTAAAGATGTGAAATTTGTAGGAAAGGAAATGGAAAAAGAAGCCACATCAAATATGCTATAGAAGAACAATTTAGTAGTCAGTGAATCCAAGTCAAAATTCACTATTGCAAGAAGCACCTGCAGAATGCAGACAACTTCGTTCGGGATACTGCTAGCATTGGAAGAAGAACATTAATTCCCTAAATCATAGTTATATTGGTAGATCAGTACCGACACACATAAGTACTGTAAGCACCAATATAAATGAGAAACAAAACTTATAATAGCATACAATTCTGAATAATGAGAAAATTATAAGTCAAGAATAAGATCAAGGCTATACGTGCAGATACTTAATAATCATTGCCTCACACAAAATGAGAAAGCTTGAGCAAGATATATTACCTATCAGGATTATTCAACATGATGCCTCAATTGAAAATTTGAAAAAAGAAAAAAGAATTGTTGAATTAAGGATATATTTCAACACATTTGAAATGAGACAGCAACCTGGAAAATTAATCCATGTTTTTTTGAGTAATACACCATATGGATACAAGAAAATTTTGTGAAAATCTAGTGCAAAAAAGTACCTACTTACCTGCCATGCTATGCCACCAAGTTATTTGCTTATCGGGAAAAAGATTCAGTCTCTAGGTAATAAATAATTAAGTCACAAATGATGTCATGATTTTATGCACATATTTCTGCTTTCAACGAGGCCTTGTAGCCACAAATAATTTGCCAACCTCATTTGAATGAGGGAGTACATATTTCTCAAAGAACTTCTTATCAGTCATCCTGCATACATACCCCAAACTCAGCTTTTTAAGAAGTAAATTCCTGCTTTCCAAAACATCCAGAACTCTTAACCGTGGCTTAAGTCTATTCTCAATACTGTAACCAAGTAAATCTGGGTTATTAACAACATATGAGATATCACATTTACCCGTGCTAACCAAAAGCTGTGTTGTCTCCTTAATTTTCCTCTCTGACAGACCAAATAACTGAGGCGCTCTCCTAAAAACTGACAAAATGTCATCTTCCGAAAACCCCAAACTCTTAAAAAGCACCAATTTCAACTCCCAATTCTCTATAGTTATCGAACTAATAATCCGAATCGCTTCAAGAAACATCTTAGAATTCCTGTCAAAGCCCATCTCATCAACCCTCTTCACATTTTCTCTAATTCTCGTTGGTTTACAAAAGAAAAATGTTGGGCAATTATAGACACATCGACTTATTTGCGACGAACTAATGCCACAGCTCTTCAAAAATTCAATATTGGGAATCATAGTTTTCGCCCAATCAAGCCTCAGAATACGCCCAGATCTCTTTAAAAACGTAGACATATCCACATTCGAAACCAAAACACTCTTCAATGCTAAAATCGATGGGCCAAGCTGACTATCAACGCTACGAGTTAGAATCCGAGGGTCAGACGAAACAATTTGCACAATATCGCTAGAAGAAATACCCAAGTCTTGAAAAAACTTGAATTTGGGTTTGATGGAAAGCTCAAGATTTGCAGCGAGAAGTTGAGGCGCGGATTTGATGACACGCTCGAGATGGGTATCCGCAAAACCACTTTCCTGAAGAAATGAAAGAATTGAATCGGTCTCTTCAGGCCTTTTCAGATACTTTACGACGGAAGAGACTTTCGAAGCAGTTTCAGGAGAAAATATGTGTCTATCAATCAAGTAATCCGCCACTGCAATGGGGCTTTTTGGAGAGGAAGAGAAGAAGTTGAGGGAGAAAAGAGAGATTGGGGTTTTGTTGAGATGTGAAGAATTCTTGAGAGAAAGAGAGATGAGACTTTTGCAGATATATACAGTCCTCATTTCTTGAAGAAACACAGTGATGTATCATAATATGCTTTCAATCACAACAAAGAGTAGAGATCAGTACTTGCCGGAAAAGTGGGGATCTTCATTGATTCGATTTTCTCTCTCTATCAGTCTCTCTCCGCCTCCGGTTCTCTGAAAGTGTTTGAATGATGAACACTGTGTGCCCTAACCCATCTAAGGTTGTTCACCTCAAACCCGAATCGACATTGGTATGAAAATGTTGTAGCCCAAGAATTAGGTGGGCTCTACATCGGCCCAAAGTTGAAAAATTACAGCAAAAATTAAAAGCAGTTATCCCGGAATTTGAACCCGGAATTTCCAATGTGCTACAGCAGATCTCTATGAGACTATGACCCAATGCAATAAATTTGATGATAATTCATATAACTAATATTTACATCAGCATATGAGCAATTAATCACTGACCTTTAATTCCCTTGGCATCTATAGAACAAACTCGTCTGATCAATGGCCAATTCAAATTAAATTGACTAGTTGAGTTTTTTATCTATTTTTTTTATATATAACTTTAATAATTAGATAAGTTTCACTTTCTAATGCCAGTGGGATATGATGCCAATGGAGCTTGCTAATCTAATCTCTTTATTAATATTTAACTTTAAATCTAATAAGATAAATTGTTTTCATATCATCAACTAGGGGTGAGAAAATGATTTACAACCCATTAACTCATTCATATTCGTTTATATTTTAATAATTTTGGGTGAATCATATTTAAATTGAGTTAAAAATAAAAATATAAATATCCATATTCCACCCATCATATAATAAATACTATTATTCTATATTGTTTTAACTCCATTTCTCTCTCTTAAATTTTCTCTCACCCACGTTACTCTCTCTAAATATCTTTCTCATCCAACTTCTCTCTTTCTAAGTTTCTCTCTATCAAATATTTTACTCATCAATCACCCTCCAATCAACCATCATATAATGGACGGAGGCAATTATATATTCTCACCGTTTATTCAATCACCCCCACCCGCCTTCATCACTCTCACTCCCACCTTTGATAAATAATAATATTATAAAAAATATAATTATAAAAGTAATTATAATTTTGAATCAAAATTTAGAGGCGCGTAATCGCTTCTTAAAGACAGTTGAAACATCTCTTAGGTACAATCAGAATATTAATTGGTAGCATTATCTTCGGGATTCAACAAAACTAGATTCAACAATCTGTATATTTATAGAGTGACACCCTTTATAAACTTATGTATTCATCTTCGTCTAATTATTTGTTCAGAATAAAATATAATTTAATAAATTATATTTAAACACGTATATCAATATTGAATGTACCCACGTGTTACGTGGAATGTTTAGAATTCCATAATTTGTTACCCAAAAAAAGTTGGTTGGAATTTCAATTCTGATCATCGGAATGAAAGGTTAGAACCTTGGAGGATACCAAAAATGACCTGGGCCGGACATAACCCGGATTACTGAAGATTGGATCCAGGGAGAACACTTGACCCGATCGAATGATTGATGATCAGGCCCAGCATCCATTAAGAGCGATCAAAAAGCCCAACCCCAGAGCGAAAGAAATGAGCCCATATCTAGGATGAGCCCAAAAGACCGGCCAGCGTGAAGAGCTAAATAGGAAGCTTCTAGAACAATTGTAAAGGTCTATAAATAGAGTGAAAAAAGAGGGAAAATGGGTTGAGATATTCTAAAGTGTAAGGATTTGTTTTTCTAAATTAAGAGAGTTTATTTCTTGCATTTTTAATGGCGCCGTCTGTGGGAAATGAAGGAAGAATCCAGTTGATCGTCGCGTTCTTTGCAAGCAAATTGATCATTCTTTCAGAGGATTAAGATTGATTTGTGAGATAGAAGCTTGATTTTTGGAAATTGGATCTCGAGCTGGAAGATTGTGATCAATTTTGGAACATAGAAGTCTAGGCAGAGTACATTATAAGAATTCCCAATAGTATTTTCATACTAGTCCATTTAGTTTGCTAACACAAAACTAGCAACTAAAACTTCTACAACTCCTGACAGCATGCAACTTACTAGTTAAAATTACATGATGTCTATAACCACAGCATAACCAACACTCCTGGAATTGAAATATGTTATATATATCATTGATATAAAATCCTAACAATAACTTTCATATTAGTCCGTTTAAGTTGCTAAAACAAGCTAACAAATTAAATCATCCTCCTTCCTAGACAGCATGCATATTAATCTTTAAAAATTCATGAGTCCCTTAATATTAGCACACTGGCATATACTAACTATTTTAAGGCTTTAACAAGTTAATTTTAAACATTTAAAACCCCACAACATTTTCCAGAAATTACCCCTAAGCCCCTGGAATCTGAAAAACATTAGAAAACACCCCGTAGGGGTATTTTGGCAAGGGAGCTAGCTCCCCCATCATGGGAGCCGGCTCTTAGGCTTCTAGAGCCAGCTCTCCCTCATGGAGAGCTGGCTCTCTCATCATGGGAGCCGGCTCCCTACATTAGGGAGCCAGCTCTCTCCCTGAGAGCCTCTCTCTGCTTTGTCTCTGTTTCGTCCATTTGTCTTCTGCACTTCCAGCGAAGTTCAACATCCTTGTCCCAAATCTTTTTAACATTCCTAGGGTTCAATTTAAGTTCTTATAGTCCTAGAAACTCCTCACATTCCAGTATGAATTAATTGACAAAAAGCTTAATCGAAAACAAAATAGTTTATGCAAGAAAACCGATATCAGTTAATTAAACATACAAACAGTTACAGTCTGATAACTTGCATCAAATTTCCATTTTAAAGTTGAATTAATTCCTGGAGACCATATAGAATGCACATAACAAAATTTTACAGGAAAGAGATAGAATGAAACTTGCTTTTAGGTTTCGGTTTAAAACCTAAACCACCGTCTATGAGTTCTGGCAACCCCAAGACTGTTCTCCTTCTCTGACCACTGTTCTCTTCCTGTGTTATTTCTTGGTTCAACCCACGAGCAACTCCCTGTATAAATTTTCTTGCCTCTCTATTTCTCTCTGCCTCATAGTACGTGAATAGGGTTCTAAAACCCTGGGCCAACGCATAACTCATGTATATATAGGCTTCTATAAAACCTAACCATAATTCCAACCTAACTATAAGTCAGCAACCATAATTACATAAACATAAAACCCTACTACATATGACACATACAAATTACCAACCAATGTAATCCACCTAAGCATACACAGAATCTAACAAATACATTATATAAACTACTAAATATTACACATCAATTAAATCACCAATAATTAAATAATCAAATTAAAAACAATTAAACAAGTAATTTAAAATAAATAAATAATTACAACTAAACACATAGCCAAATAATCACATTTAAATGCATATAAAACAAATAATCAATTAAAATGCACATAAAATAAATAATTAAATTCCAATTATATCCTTTTGAGAATTAAGGGTATTACACCTACGTGGCCGAATTAAAATTTATTTTAAGGGTGAAAACACAAATGCCTTGAAAATATTAAACAATATAGGTTAATATTCCTTACAATGATAATAGATTAATGATGCTTTCTGTGGTAAATGTACTCAATATAGGTCAATATTCCTTGCATCACTTTATTTGAAATAAATAACAAAACTGATAACAAGAAGCCAACAAATACAACTATCTTCAAATACAAAATAGCTGTTTCAACAACTTATAACCTAGAATCTGTAGCTTGTCTCTGCAACTTCAGTTCAGAAACAACCTCAAGCAGAAGTTTTTTTACAGGTGAATACTCCTCAGTAGCACTAACACCAGCAACAGAACTATCTATAGGATTACACCATTCCCAAAAATTACATGTTTGATTTTCGATCACAAGTATAATACAACTTTCCTTTGTTGTGATTTTTTTCATTCTCTGTAACCTTCACTATAGCAAAATTCCCACAACGACAAATCTTATTCGTATACTGTATATAACTTCTGCACCTGCCTCTACCTTTACAATTATTTATGCTTGATTGAGACATCAGTTTGCATATAAATATAAGAGAGGAAGAGAGGAAGATATTCTACTAAACTACAGCTATTTCCTATTTATAGAGGTTCCAACCATGACCATTGGAGATTTCAGGGGCAATCTGGGCATTAATATGGACTTTATGAGTAATCTGGTCATTAAAATTGGTTTATATGCTAAGCCAAACATAACCATTAATGTTTGTAGCCAAACAGAACCATTTAGGGGCAATATGGTTATTAAAACGTAATTTTTTGCTGATGTCGGCAAAAAGTGTTTCTGACCAGCTTTGACCGTTGACCGAGGGGGGAGATTGATGTGTGTCAGAAAAAGTAAGTGGTCTGACTGAATTTTTGCAAATATGAGGGGTCTCCTTAAATATTGGACAAACCACAAGAAGTGTAACTGAATTCAACCTAAAGTCATAATAGCCCAAGAATTAGGTCGGCTGGTCCTAACCCTACTAAGTTGAAAATATAGGGCTAAAAAATTTTTGCTTAGGGATCGAGCCGTCAAACCCGAAATTTTAGTGTGCTATATCGCATATCTTGTCAACCTTGCCCTTTTTTAGAAAAATAAAAATTATGACTTGGCTTTTGAAAAATAGCTTTTGCTTTTCAAGCCCAAAAGCCATTTGGGAGACACGACTATTTTGGAATTAACGCCAACTAAAGTAACTAGTTAGAGTAATGATAGTTACACTGAAGCCATACACTGAATTGTTAGGCAGAATGATGTGACAGTCCAACTATATCGCATTTTTTTTTCCTCTTATTCGACACGATCTACAACAATTCCAAATGTTTTGACGACCTATAACAAGCTTTTGATGATTTGCAGAATACCTCTGATAAATCAAGTATATATATATATATATCAATCTCCCTGTATATGTATATGTTGCTGCAAAAAAAAAAAAATTTAAGAGTTCAACACCAATGTCAATCCATTGAATAGAGATTGATTCAAACGACTAGTATTGATCAAACAATTCCATCTATATAAATATATATACATATATATATAAATATATATACATATATATTTGATTTACCAGATGTACTCAATAATTTCAAATCGTCAAAAAGTTACAAATCGTCAAAAGTTTGTTGTAGATTGCCAAAACATTTGGAGTTGTTGCAATTCACGTCGAAGAGGAGGAAAAAAAAAAAAAAAAGAAAAAAAAAAGA